AAAGAGGGTGGAATGGAGGGATGGAGGGGAGAGGGTTAGCTAGGAAAGGAGAGGAGAGTAAGCAATGGAAGGGGGAGAGAAAGGAAGGAAGGGAGGAAAGAAGGCAAGGTGGGAGTGTAGGAGGGAGGAAGATGGAGGGACGGGGTGTGAGGGTAGGAAGGAGGCAGATGGAGGGACGGGGTGTGAGGGTAGGAAGGAGGCTGGAAGGGAGACACAGGAGCTAGGGATGGAACAAAGGTGGAAGGCAAGGAGGGATGGAGCAGGGAATGGAGTGAGGGAGCAATTGAAGAGGTAGGGGAGTAAGAGAGGGAGCCAGAAAGGGAGGGAGGAAGCCCAGTATGGAGTGAGCGAGTACACAAAGCAGGGATGGAGGGATCAAGAGATGGATTGAGAGAAGGCTAGAGGGAGGAGGGATGCTAGGGAATGAGGGAATAAGTGAAATAAGGGTGAAAGTAAAGGAGGGCAGAAGTGAAGTGAGGTGGCAAGAGAAGAAGGGAGAAAAGGAAGCAAGTAAGGAGCAAAGAAAAGAAGGCTGGACTTAGGAAGAGAACTACTTACTGACTGAGGAAGGCAGTGAATGAGCAAAGGAGGAGGAAGGCAGGATGTCAGTTAGGGATAGAGCTGAGCATGGAGGAAGCAAGCGACAGAGCACAAATACAAACTCACAGTTCTAAAGTTCTTTGAATTCTGTAAAAGTGGCTACAACTTGGTCCTAAACCCTAAAATTTCACACAACTAGCCTATCTGAAGGAAAAATGAAAGTTGAACAAAATCATTTAGCATCTAAAGAGGTGGAAAGAATCAGAGAGACTAGTTAGGTGGATTGCAGCTATGAAGGAAAGGCCAGCTAATTGCTTTTATCCTGCCACTTCAAAAATAACTATTTCAGCTAGACTTACTGCCACGTACAATGAGGCCATTTCTTCTTACATGTCTCCAGCACCCAGGTTTGGAAATGCTTTCTTATATATGCAGTTCTAGATTCCACTAGATGGAGATGGAGTCCGTGAAAGAAGAAAAGGGTGGGGGACAGAGAATCATGGACCAAAAGGAAATCTTAAAAAGGACAACCCATTTAATTAAGCACATGCCCGCATACATGCATCTTACAGGAAATGGGAGAACCTTGTTGATGCCAGAAAACAAATACACCATTGCCATTCAACACCAACTTCCCTGATGGGGAAAATGGACAAAAAATTGGTAGGAAAATTATTTGTGTGTGTGTATGTAATTGTATACACACACAGGTACAAATATATACAAACATATATACACATGTGTGTGTACATGTGCACATACATGCATATAATATATACATACACATGTATGCATACATATGCACATATACACATATAAAGAGACGCATACATAGACATACATATGTAACTGACTTGGATAAAAATCTGACTAATTAGTTCTTTCCAGGTCCTATAGACTCAAGCTCACCTCAAATTTTGCTGCAATCAGAAAAGCAGTGGAACCGAGGAGTTGCAGCTTGTCCCTCTTGCATATTACCTTCATAAGGTAGTGATCCACCAGCTTCACTGCCAAGTAGAGGGTCTCGTGACTCACCTCAAAAGTCATCTGGAGGAATACACAAACAGGGCAGAAATCTGTATATTGTCCAGCTCTAAAATCACATCCAGATAAATCTAACTACCTGGTCTGTGGCATTGAGAACAGTGGAGCTATACCAGACCTGGCCAGCTAAGACTCTGCTATGAATGTGGAAACTACTTCAGATAGCTGCCTGATTATATCTCCCGCACCTTTGAGGACTCTGGCATTATCTATCCCTACACATTTAGGTAGGTGACCAGTCTTACAAATCAGAGAGACAGGCTCTGCCTTCTTTACGAACACCTTAAGTGAATACATCCTCTCCCCTTGATCTCCAATACGTACTTAGAGTCTTGCTTTCCCTATTTGCTATTCCCTTAAACAGTGAACTCCCAAAAGAGATTGTTTATTTAGCTCTGAAACACAGGGATTTGTTTATTAGTTTATTCATCCATTAGTTTCTCTTCTCAACTAGCTATGCTATTAGAATGTATAGACTGAAAGCAAGTACCAATAGCACCATTTAAAAGTGAGCTGAGGGGCTGGAGAAGCCAGAATGAAATTGAAACATTAGTAGTATAACCATCCTTCTCTTCTTTTATTTATCCTTGTCTTGCATTCACCAATTCCAAGAAACCATCTCCTATAGCAATAGCCCCAGAATTAGTGTGGGCCTATAAAGCATCTTTGTGAAAATTAGAAAAAAGGTGCCTTCTTTGGGTGAACACAGCCCTGCAGGCACACATCTTATCAAGTAGACAATACCCTTATATGAATTAGCAAAAGGTGTCCCTGCCTCAGGGCATAACAACCCCACAGCCAGAATGCACAGTTTGGCAAACAGCGTATGAGCTGGATTCCACTGCCTGCTTTTGCCCTGGCTAAAGGCCACGTATAGGCACAATTTGCACCATACACAGGGGTCCTACCCAATCTTCAGTGATGCTTCTTCCTCACAATCCCCTTAGGATCTTAGGATTCAAGAACAATAGAATCGATATTAGCCCAACACCTCAAACAATGCTTGAATCCTCTCTTTAATGTCCCCACCAAATAAGTTGTTCGGTTCCTGTCATAGAACCTCCAAATACATCCCAATAACTCTTTGAATATTTTTAACAGAAAGTGCTTCCTTATATTGAGAAGAAATCATCCTCCCTGTAAGCTTCACCCACTTCATTGGGCCCTCTTTCGTGTAGGCTACTCTTATTGACTGGAGTCTAGATGACCACAGAGTAGGTCAGTAAGAAGCTTTGGAGAAATTAATGTATATTAGCACAGGCAAATGATCATCAGAAGATAATTGAATACATTGGTTAAGCAATACATACATTAAGTTTCTGAATAACAGAAATACCAAAAAGCTGTTCTTACTGTTCCTGGGATACGGCCTTGGCTACAGAAATCTGTCTTTATTAGTTTCCTATTGCTGCTATAGTAAATTATTACACACTTAGTGGCTGAAAACAATACAGATTCATTATCTTACAGATATGGATGTCAGAAGTCCAAAATGGGACTCACGGGGCTAAAAACATCAATGTGTTAGCAGGGCTGTGTTTCTTTCTGGAGGTTCTAATGGAGAATCCTTTTTCTAGCTTCTAGAAGTTGCCTGCATTCCTTGGTCCCTTCCAGCCTCAAAGCCAACAATGGCTAGCCAAGTCCTTCTCACACTGCATTACTCTCTGCCTCCTTCTTCCACATTTAAGGACCATTGTGATTACGTTGGGCCCATATGGATAATCCAGGGTAATCGCCCTTTCTTAAATTCAGTTTAGTGCAAAATTAATTTCGTAGTCTACTTAATTTCCCTTTGTCATGTAAGGTAACATATTCACAGTTCTGGGAACTAGGATGTGGACATTTTATTCTGCCTACTACATTTGCCAAAGGAATGTTATAAGAAAGAAATGAGGAGAGTTTGTGCACATGAAGGTTAATGACTACCACCTTAAGTACCGAGAAACTGAGGTCAAATAATTACAAAAAAAGAAGATAGGAATGGAAAGCAACAGTTCTCTGAGGATGGTGCCTCTGTGAGCAAATGACAAAGCCAGAGCTTATATAGCCTCCTTCTAGTACCTCACACAAGCACTTGACCACCCATGCAGCATGTTGTTATCAAATGGTAACATCTAAAAGTGTGGGTATTATCTGAATGAATGGCTGAAATTTGAAGTCAATAAATATTTAAAACAGCAGCTGTGTCAATTATAGCAATTTTTCTTCCTTGAATGTAAGACAATACTCTCCTAACATAATTCTACCAGTTGGGACTGCATGGAATAAGTCTAATTCTTCTTGTGACAACCCTTCAGCTACTGAAGAGTTACTATATCTCCTATAAATCTCCATTCTAGACCAAATAGCTTGACTTCTAACTATTCTTCAAACGGTATGGTTTTCTGTCTCATTAGCATCAGTCTCCAAATGAAGAGCCTAACTTTATGACAGTTAGAAGAGAGGCAGTGCTCCAGCTGCGACAAAACTTTTTAGCACAGTAGCAAGTTTCTCTTCCTTATAACTGCCTTTGGTCAGTACGCCCTTCCAATTCTTCATAAACAACTATTCTTATCTGGAATTGGGTAAGAAGAAACAAAAGGGAAGTAATAAATAAAACTATAGAAAATATAAAGATTAATCTTAGTCTCAAACTAGGAGACAAATCTGACAAAATGCAACTCAAACTCCAAAACTAAAAGATCATCTTCTACAAAGATGAATAAACAGAGAAATCCAACCAGATATGGGCGGGGGAGAGGGAAACAAGTAATTTTTAAAAGAGAAATATTCTGAGGAACCAGAGCAAATGTCTACTTATGAAATCTTTTTACTCCGAAGAACTGGAATAAACTTTTAAAAAATATATTCTCAATAAGACCTGAAAGGACACTTTTCTATGAAAAGAAAACATGGGATACAAAAAGTCTTGTTTCTAAAGAAAAAGAAATTATTTAATTTAAAAATGTAATAGAGGCAGTGAACAGTATAGTTATAATCATGACAAAAATCAAATCAATGATTCCAAAGGCTACTTTAAAACATTCTCCTAGAACTGAGAGGTAAAGAAAATGAATGAAAACCTGAGATACAAAGAGAAGAGATTTCAGAGTAATTAACACACACACACACACACACACACACACACACACACACACACACACACACACTCTCTCCCTCTCCCTCCATATAAAAAAGAAAAAAAAGAGACAATAAGAAATAATAAAGAAATAATACATAGAAAATTATCCAAGACAAAGAAAGACTGAACCTTCAGATTGAAAGGATCAAACAAAATTAAGGAAAACAGGTCTACATCTAGAAACGTCAAAAATAATTATATTTTTAGGGAAGCTAATGTATTAAACACAAATAATCTTGATCTAAAGTCTATATTATTTTGACTATAAATGGAAGAAATAAACTAAAAGTATACAAATTATCTTACTTGAAGGGAAATTAATAGTTCAGTCTCACCAAAGGGGTTGGCTAACTAAATAATGACTACATCCATATAATAGAATATTATATAGCAGTTTAAAATAAGATAGATTTATACTTAAAGGAAAGGTTATAAAGATTTATTCTTTTTTCATTAGATAACTTTTAAAACTTTTCAATGACAGTTGGCATACAATATTAAATTAGTTTCAGGCATATAACAGTGATTAGACATTTACATATCTTACAAAGTGATCACCCTGATAAATCTAGTACCCATGTGACATCATACATAATTATTACATTATTATTGATTCTATTCCTTATGCTATATTTTACAGCCCCGTGACTAT